AGATCCAAAATATTTTTGAAATTGCGTTTACATTGATGAGGCACAGACTTTTCTCTCATCATTCATTATTCCTTAAACAATACAGTTCAACAACTATTTTGCATAGCATTTACATTGCATTTGGTATTCTAATTAATCTAGAGATGATACAAAAGATCTGAAAGGATGTGCCTAAATTGACTTGAGCATCCTCAGATTTCGTTGTCCATGGGGGGTCCTGGAACTAACCCCCTGGGGACATACTGCATACTGTCATTGAGCCAGACAAGCATGGTATATGATCCAGAAAGCAGACAAAGGAGGCCCCTAGGAGTTGGTCATTAAAATCAGCATCTATCGACACAAGTTTTTAAAAAAAAATTTGAGTCTTTGTTGGAAGACACACTTGGAGTCATGGAAAGTTCCTCTCAGCTCCACCTGCCAAGGGAAAAGCCTGAGCAGACAGGCTGACACAGCCCAGAAAGAAATCACAGGTGCAATGGGGCTCTCTGGTACAAACTCCAGGCACAAGGGGCACGCTCAGGAAAAGTAATGCAGGGCCTGAAGGGGCCAGTTGTGATGTGTGCTGCAACATGATCTGGAGGTGTTGATTACTGGCAGGTCCCAGAGGCAGAGCTGAGACTGACAGTGAGTCTTCAAGCCCCGGCCACGGCAGCAAAATTTCAAATGCCTTGGTCCCCGTGGCTGACCACCTAACAACACACACATGGGTAGCTGGGAATGCAGAGGGAAATGGGGTCTCAGGCACTAATGCTTTGACGGTATACCACATAAAGGAGAGAACTTGTCTTCAAACATGTGCTAGAGACAGTGTAGGAATGCTAAGCCAGCTCCAGACTATCCCAAGGTGATATGACCAGGTGCCTGAAGTTGTGCCCCGGACACTCAATCTCCAGGGGAGTGGAATCCATTCTCACCTCTATCCAAGGGCTTGCAGCCTAGACCCAGCTGAGTTCAACAATCCTACCAATGGAGATAGCAAGAAATTGTCTCCTGGTGCTCAACAAAGAGACAGTGGCAGATCCAGGAAAGAGCAAAAAAAAATGTTAGCGATCCAAGCCTTGGGGAGTCCAGGTCCCTGAGCTGGCTGAGGGCACCCCCAGCCACGTAGGTTACGCACACTGGAATTAGGAATACCAACTGGGCAGAAACCTGAAACCCTGGTAACCAGAGCAAGTAGCTCAATGCAACCCCCTCTCCTTCCTCTGTAGAAATAACACTTCACTCATAAGTAACGATATGTCCTCTTGTCACAAAACAGTATTTTAATTCTCCTTAAGACAACTTCCTAAGAAGTGTGGAGCACACAGGGACATGGTGATAGGTATCTCAAAGGGTTCGGGTAGCAGGCAGGGAAGCCAGGAAGAAACAAGTTTCAAATATGAACCCAAGACTTGTCATCCCCACGGACCTTCCGCCTCCACCACGGTAGACTCACCTCCACTCTGCTCCAGCAACTGTTGTCACTCTATCCTCAGCATGTCAACAAGGTCCTCGCTTCCAACCAGGAAGCGGTGGAGGTTGGTGACCCAGTGAAGCCCTCACCTTCTCAGCACTGGACACATAAACCCTTCAGGTGGAATCAAGAGTTCCTGAGATCCAAGCAGGGCCGGTGCACATGCTAGACGGGCATGGGTGTCCCCACACTAATCATGTGACTGTCAATGTAGCCTTGTACAGCAACGTCTTCCTGCACGTGCTTTACACAATCTTCCTTCCTCTTTCCAGGAGTCATTGTTTGAATCCCCATTTTTTTCCAAATGAGGAATCTGAAGCTTAGAAAGATTAATTTGCCCAAAAAGAGTCACAGAGCAAATATGTTAAGGCAATGAGATTCCAAAAGTCATCCTGAGAGGGAACAGGAATGAACAGACGCTGATTGGGTAGCCACTAAGACTCTTCTAAGGGCTAGAGGGACAAAAGTGAAAAGAAATTCTCTCTGTTCTGAAGAAGCGCAAGGGCTCCTGGAGAGAGTGATGCGATGCAAATGACAAGGCAGCCACGTGAGGACAGCGGTTCATTCAGCAGCCACCGTGGTGCCCTGGGCTTACTCTTCAGTTGTTGGCTTTTCTGTGTCTACCTCCCTCCTGGACTCCGAGCACAGACAGATCATTCTACAGCTGTCAACACCGAGCCCCTGCCATGCAGCCTCACATGCAAACCCATGCTATGAGGAGGAAAAATAAATGCAGAACACAAACATTCTTTGGAACGTAAACACGGTGATATCCATCCTGCAAGAAGCAGAGAACCTAGCAGGGATACAAAGAAGCAGGACAGAAAGGGAGGTGTGACCACCTCGGGGCTCAAACCAAAAGAGCTCTCCTCTCTTGGGAAGCCCGAAGCTGCTACCTGGGTTGAAAGACAGCAGGTGACAGGAAGCCCTTGGATAGAGGTGGGGATGGATTCCACTCCCCTGGAGATTGAGTGTCAGGGGCACAACCTGGTTCAACCCGGTTCAATGCAGCCTCTAGCAAGAGGGGAGTTCACCTGGTAACCACCACCATCACCACCCAGCCTACTTCCCTGGTCTCTAAAATGGGACCATCACCCCATCACCCGCTCTGCCCACTTCATCCCCATGTGGTGAGGCTCACACAGTCAACAGAGAGACAGAATCATAAAGAGTGCTTCACAACGGTCAGTGGTATTCAGTCCAGGGGCTACAGCAGCTCCCATGTTTCTTTCCATCAGATGGGCATGAAGGTCACATAAGCCCAGCAGGGAAAGTGACAACTCAGGGCCAGGAAGGAAGAAAGAGCTGATCAGGTCTCACCAGCCTCTTTCAGCAGCTCCAGCTCAGGCTAACCCCAGGGCACCCACATGCTCCTTCCTCCCCTGAGTCCTGGGCCAGGACACACCAGCAGACTAGCAGCACTTCTTCCCCCAAAGGGAGAGACCTGGGAGGCCCTCACCCCCGTGGGCAAGCTGCACCAGACACTCTCTCTACCAGAAAATCCATTCCTGCTGCGCTTGACTAAGGCCACACCACATGGTATAAATAGCACTCATCTGGGGAGCAGCAGACCTGGGCTCAGGCCTCGTCTCTCTGTCTCACATGAGCTGCCTTTCCTGGGGAAGGACACCCACCTCTTGGGAACCCTGTTGCTACACTTATAAACAGGGGGTTCCTGAGCTCACACTTGCTTAATCTTGGCACTGTTGGCATTGTGAGTCAGATGATTCTGTGCTGAACATTTATGTACCCCCTGGAGGCTAGTAGCACACCCACAACCCCATCACAACAACCAAGAATGTTTCCAAAATAACCCCCAGTTGAGAACCACTACATTAGGTGATTTCCTACAGACCTCCAACCTGCTTCAGCTTCCCGAGCCCAGGCACCAAATCCTCAGTTCAAGCTTCCCACACCTGAAACACTTCCCCTCATTTGATGGTCACCTCCTCTTCCACAACCCCAGCCTCAGCAAAGCCATTCACCTCCATCCCTGGGTTTCATCATTATCGGTGGTCCTGCAGTTTGTGAGAGGTGGAAGCCTTGGCAAAGAGGATCCAGCTCTCATGTCACAGGACCCAGAGGAAAGGAAGAGGGCTGGGATGGTCTTGGAGCCGAGCAGATCTAAATTTAAATCCTGGCTCTGCTAGGGGGTCCTTCACTGATTCCCGGTGTCTCTACAAGCTTCAGTGTCCTGCCTATAAGGGAGAATCAAAAGGTAAAACAACTCCATAGGATTGACATGCAGATTAAATGAGGGCCTGTTGCTCCAGATGGGTGGTCTCCTTCCCCAATCTTTAAGAGTGTCTTTTGGAAGAAACTCATGGAGGGGATCCTCCAGCTCTTTGACCTGCCTCCTTTTTCAAACCTCAGTTCACAACCCATGGTTGTGGTCCATCTCTCTCAGCTGTGCCAGTGCACCACTGGAGGCTCTGGCCATTTTCCCCCTGGCCTCAGCAGCAGAACCTGGTCCATGGGCCAGCTTCCCAAGAGGAGAGCCAATCCTCATCTTCAGAGTGGCAACCAAGGTGAAGCCATTAAGCCCATCTTCACGTGGTCTTAATAAACCTAACAAGTGGGAAAAGCAGCTAGGAAATTTCTCACTTGCTGAAGCCAGAGCCCTCTTTTAACCCTGTTCCATCTCCCTTCCTGCCCACCCTCCCCAATCCTCACAGTTGAGTAATTTAATAGAAAAGAAGCCAAACCAACAGGAAATGGGGCTGCCTGTCTATTTGTGATAAATACAGCGAAATCTCACTTCAAGAACAAATCCAGGAGCACACGTTAGGCTGTGAGTGATGCCTACCAATGAAGCGCCTCCTCCCCATGTGCAGTGCCAAGGTCTCTGACACCAGGAGGAGCATACAGAGGAAGTGTAAGAATTCTGCAGGGTGTATGGTATATCCACCTGTCTGCCCAACCTTCTCATGTCAGATAGAAAATACCAGAGCACAGCAAGTACTTCTGGAGACCCTGAGCAAAAGGAGGCCAAGGCAAAAGTCTTGCTCTTTGCCTCTATTCCTCTTCAGTAAAATGGAGTAGTAAGAGTGACCTGCCACAAACTATGGTTGGCAGGAATAAGTCAGTTAATACTTTAAGTGCTTGGGACAGTACCTGGGATATAATAAGTGCTATGTAAGTGTACCCTGTTGTAATTATCATCAGACTATTACTGCTATTATTGTCATCCTTCTCACTCTCTGTACCTAGTCATTTGGGCCCCCCAGAGACAGATGAAATCCAGCACAGCACCATAATCCTCTCAGGCTTTCATGACTGTAACCACAATCAAAGCCAGTGTTTATTGAGAACTTACTATGTCTATTTCCTTTAGTCGCTACAGCCATTCTATACCATTGGTGTTACGGTCCTCATTTTATAGACAAGAAAATTGAGGCTTTGAGAAAGTTATCCAAGGACACCAGTAAACAAAGAAGTCACTACATATCATGTCTAATTTAGCTTAAGTCTGTCTACTCCAAAGTCTAAATATCGCCGGGTAGCACAACCTGCACTTCCCAGCAGGGAAAGCCTGAAACACAGAACCAATGTTCTCACCACGAGCTCACATTTAAGAAGTGTCCCAGAAAATTGTTCAATATTTGTAGATCTCTGGTTGCAAACAGTAAAACCTGATTTTGCCTAACTTAAGCAAAAGGAGCTATGATGAAAGGAGACAGAGACTCTCAGAATCAACCAGAAGCTGCGACCCAGGCTTGGACACTGCTAGAGACATAAGCAGCTCTGGAAGCAGGAAGTCTAGGAATGGTCTTATGGCAGGATTGGCAGATCAAGAGGTCACCAATGGATTTCATGACATCAGAAATATGCAGCCTTTGCTGCTTTGCTCAGGATTCCAATTCCAAGAAAGAAGCATCCACTTGGCTGTTCTGGATCATACGTCCACCTCTTGTTTACAAACTAAAGCCACTGGGGAAGAGAAAATTGTCCCAGAGGATACTGGGGTGCTGTTAGGAATGAGAAATGGAGACTGGGTGGACCAAAGGAGCACCAGCCACTCCCATGAAGCTTCCCAAGGTCTTCACATTATGGTGCCCCATGGAAAGGTGTCCTCTGATGAGCGCTGAGTCAAGATATCTTGCAGAGAAAGCAGATGAGTTCTGCAGTGTCTGTGTGATGTCAGTCCACCTGCCCAACCTTCCCTACATCAGAAAGAAAACATTAGAACATGTTTCTCGGGGCATGACAGAACTAATAATAAGAATCTTAATTTGCTAGACTTCGAAAGGACCTTAGAATGAACTCATTTACCCTCCTCCCCCTTTTCTTACAGACATGCAAACTAAAGATAGGAAATTCCCCCCAAATCACACCTCTGGTTAGAGGCAGAGTCAGGGTGAGGACAAAGGGCTCTGCAGCCCATCCGGGGCTTCCACACTAAAACACCCAAGACTGTTCACCACCCTGAGGCATGGCCAACATTCCCACTTCCCTGTCAGGCCCTGGGCCGTCCCAGGGATCTTTCTGGAATCTGGAAAATCAGGTCCGTCATCTGCTCTAGACTTTGTAGGGCCTCCCTCTCCTGGGGGAGCAGGTGACATCGGTAGAGGAGGCAGAGAACCATGGAGAAAAGGGAATGTTGGCCAGCCATGAGAGGCCAGCACACACACTTGGGATCTGAAAAGGAAAAAGAATGGATGCTTATTCCTGTCCCCCTTCTCCATACCCTTCCCAGGCTCAGGTAGCCCTTCTTTGCTATATATATCCTTTTCCTGACAGGAGTCCCTTGATATTCACTATGACCAGCTTCCCCAGTGTGCCGAGGCAGAGATTTCTGGGAGCACACCCATAGAAACGTGGCCCTGTCAGTTCCTGGTCTTTGGGTTGACTTCCACGCTGCCTGGCTGTTGCTCTAATTTAGACTCTGCATCCCTGCAGAAGCAGAGATAATGGGAGACAAAGGGGGAATGGTCTCTACAACAAATGCTAGTCTTTGCCAATTCTAGCCCAACTCTGTAGCCTACCAGCATCTATAACAAGGTCACCCAGGGGCAGCACTAGCCTGCCAGCCCCGTGTGCTTCCTGCTCATATCCTAAGTCAGAGTTGTGAGATAAGAAATTAAATGTCACCTAATCAAACTTCTGGATAAGAAAGAAAAGTCATTGCCTTAAGTGCCTTTTAAACAAGTTTCTGAGAAGGTTGACGCTGCTACCAGAGAGATGTCTCAGGCAAGAGCGGGCTTCCCCTGAGAAGATAGAAAATCATTAGGAAATTGTTCCTTCTTTCCAGAGGTAGGAAAACCTGAATTCCCCTAAAATAAAATGGGGTCCTCTTCAAAACTTTCAAGATCATGAAAAGCAGTAAAACCCTGGGGAAACTGACACCAGTGGGAGGAGCCAAGGAACCTATGAAGACTAAACACGACGTGAGCTCCCAGACTAGATGGTAGGACAGCAAGAAGACAAGAAGAACCAGTGAACTCACAACCTTGTAGCTTGGGCCAAAAGATGTTGATGGTAAACTGGGAGAAGGGCATTTTGGGATCTTGTACTAATTTTGCAATGTTTTTTTAAATATAAAATGAAAAGCTAGTCAACGTGGGGGAGGAATCTCAGGTAGAGCAAAGGCCGTACCAACCCTCCTTACATCAAGCCCAGCATGGGTCCCAGAAAAAGGCACAGTTAAGAGCAAACTGAGCTCAGTCTCACTCAGGCCCTGGGCAAGCAGAGATCCGTTGGCAGAAATGCCAGACGAAGGAAGCAAAGAGAAGGCCCAGAGGTGCTGGATTAACAAACCACATCAGCAAGAAGTCAGGCGAGGTCACAGGGACATCGCTCATCCTCATGAAAAATAGAAAGCACATAAACATCAAGCTGGGCCGGCTCAGGTGCTAAGCTTCCAGATTAAAAAAATAGAAGACGAGAGAAAGAAAGAAATGCTGTGCTTTTTAATAAAGGAAAATCTTAAAATTTTAAAGTAGCATTAAAAAGGGAGCCAGGGGGTCAGGCAAACAAAGGGTGGGGAGGGGAGAGAGAATGCACAGTCTCCTCTGCTCATAGTTCAGGGGACAGAAATCAATCTGACTGTGCAAACAAGCTCCCTGGAAACCAAGTGTGCCCTTGCCGAGCTCCAAGTCCTGCTTCCCACACTGTCCGCCCCAGGCTGCCTGATGGTAGCTAGCAGGGCTGAGGCTGAGTCTCCCCCAGGAGGCCAGCTGGCTGGGAAATCACAAAGCCCCACCCTCTCCCAGCACCCCCACCTGCATTCTGCAGCCCCCTCTTCCACCTCTCCATTTGTTCACCCAGCAGTTGTGCATGATGGCTCTCAGCATTCTTGCACATTCTATCTTCTAACCTTGGTCACTAGCCTGCCAATTAAGTCCCATCTCAGAACGAAGGATGCCAACGATGAGTGATTTTAGTTACGCTCATGTGGTCAAAAACTTCAGCACCAGAGAGAGGTCCCCTTCATTGGCACTACAGATGAGTTCCTGGGGGAGGATAAGAAACTATTTTTCAAGTGGTCCTAGTCCTCAAGAAGATGAACAAAGAGATCAAAATCTCCCCATACAATCCAATGGAATAAACACTTATTAATAATTCAATCTAAGTAAATGGTAAATGTGTGACTTGAAACTGAATTGCAAATGTTAGTGGATTCTGAACACATGAGAGGCAGGCTCAAAAAAAAAAAAAGTTAATAACCAAAAACTAAAATTTCCATTATTTCAACAAAACCAGAGGGACATAATCATTATTTCATTTTTATAATTGTTGTAGAAATATGTTAAATATGTATATTAAAAGTTATATGGAAACACTAGAGGATTATGAATTCATGTTAAAACTTCCAATTCACCAGAGGAAGGAAAAAAGGCAATTAAGAAATGTCATCAATTTAACAAATACAAGTAAAGGGAACTGAGGAAACCAATAGAAAGTGTAATAAATAGAACACACAAAATTAAATGGCAGGATTGAGACCAAACATCCTGGATACCAAATACATAGCAAAGAATTAAGTTCTGTTCTGAAAAATGAAGATCCTTAAAATGGGTTTGAAAAACAAAAATCCAATTATATACTATTTGTAGGATATGAACATCAAACAATAAAGGAACTTATTTGAGAATAAACAAAGCATAGAATTGTAAACTGGGACAGACAGGCCAGGTTGGCCTCTGGTATTTCTGGAGAGCAAAAATTCTGAAGAGTCAGAATTTTATGAGGACAGAGAAAGTGATGAAGTTATTTAGAAAGAAGTTTCATTGTCACTCTGGTGCTTATGAAAATGGGGGAGCTCTGGCTGGGAACATAGCTCAGTGGGTAGAGTGCTTGCCTTGCATGCATAAGGTCCTGGGTTCAATCCCCAGCACGCACGCACACACACAAAAAAAAGATGCAGTAATTAACCAGGCACGGTGGTTCACACTTGGGGGATAGGAAGGGCAGCATAATAAAATAGACATGAATATTGCTGTATGTATATACGTGACTGTATGACCAATGTGATTCTGCAACTTGTACAATCAGAAAAATGAGAAACTATACCCCATTTGATTCCAATGTATGATATGTCAAGATCATTGTACTGTCATGTGTAACTAATAAAAAAAGAGAGAGAAAATGGGGGAGCTCTGATTGGTAAGCCATGGGAGTTCCTAGATCCAGCTAGCCTTTGGGTCATAGTTGGCAGTTCCATCATCAGATGCTAAGCAGAAAGATTCTCATAGACAGAGCAGATTGTTCTGCTGGATTGGATCAATCACTGGAGCAGGTGTCCACAGCCCAAGTGTTCCCTTTCTCTCCCAGAGCCCCTCAACTCCATTTTTAGTAGGTGTGACAGAAGTAACCCCGTCTTGTATAACGAATGTTCACAGGATGGACATTGCTGTAGACATATAGCCTGTCTCCCCCACCAGCATGCCAACTAGGAGGCACAGAATGCTGTCCCTCCTCTTTGCTGCTGTATCACCACGGGCATATAGCAGGAACTCAGGAACCTTCCATTGTAGGAATGGTCATTGGCAGCCCCCTACGATGGCCCCCAGAGATCTGTCCTTCTGGAATGTATGCCTCCTTGAGTATGGGCTGATCTGAGAAACCCAGTTCTAACAATAGAACACAGCAAAAATAATGGGATGTGACTCCAAGGTTAGGCCACACACACACAAAAAAAAAAAACAGTGTTTGGGGAATGCTTTCAGGCTCTTTCCAGTCACAGGCTGCTGTGTCAGGACACTCAGGTAGCTTAGGGAGAAGGCCTTGTGGTGAGGAGCTGCCATGAACTGAATTATGTTTCTCTAAAATTCATGCATTGAAATCCTAACCACCAATGGGACTGTATTTGGAGATATTGCCTTAAAGAGGCCAACTGAGGACAAAAGAGGGAGGCCCTAATTCAATAGAACTTGTGCCCTTATATGAAGTAGGTATCTTATACCCGAGATGCTCAGGCCCCGGAAAAAAAAAAAAAAAGCCAAATGGGGACAAAGCAAAAGAAGGTGTGGTCATTAGTAAGCCCAGGAGAGGCTCAGGAGAATCTGACCCTGCCAGCACCTTGATCTTGGACTTCCAGGTCCCAGAACAGTGTGTCATGAAATTCCTGTTGTTGAAGCCACCCTGTCTGTGGTATTTTGTTTGGGGAAGGGCTAGAAGACTAAAAACAGGAACCAAGGGCACGGGAATGAGCTTGCAAGTTGAACTTTGAGATGGCTGTGTCTTAGCCTCAGCTTGACTACAAGCCCATGAGAGACCCAGGGTCCAGGGGTGCCCAGCTAAGTCATGCCCAGACTCCTGACCAACAGAAACTGGGAGATAATGAAATGACTGTTGTTCTAAGCTCCTAAGTTTTCATGTAATAATGCACCCATAGGTTAACTAACTCCATGAATGAAAAATTCTTGGAGTTAGGTAAAGGCAGTGTTATGTTATCCCCTATTTATAGGTGAGAAAGCTAAGCTCAAAGAGACAGAGTCTTGCCTAAGGTCCAAGAGCCTGGCAGACCCTTACAAGGGAGGCAGGGGGACACTGAAGATAATGCTTGGCTAATGTAAGTTTTGCCTTGGGCCACCCTGCCAGGCCTCTTGAGTTGGGAACACTAACACACAGAACATTCCTGAAACGCCTCAGAGTGTCATCTTAATGGTCTCCTTGAGTCTTGGCTGCCAAACACAAGGGGTATTTTAACAAGGTTCACCTT